ATATAATTCTGTAATATATAATGCATTTATTCGGATAAAATCGAAAATCAATTAATGTATCAAATTAATTAATTTCATGTTCGAACCGTATGTCTAGGTTCCGAATTCAGTATGCATTAATGATTGATCACGGCTTTATTTTTCGCAGCTAGTTCCATTTGCGCAGCAGCTACGGATTTCATACCCTCTTGTACAGCGGTCAAGTTTGCTTTCCAAGCTGCAAGCAAATCGCGTAGCTGCATCCACTGTGGTTTACCGAATGTTCGATGCATGGTACTTGATATAAGAACCTTGCGACCTGCTTGATCCATGCGAGCCCTGACAAGCTTCGTTTTCAATACTGAAACATACAAATTTAATTTTGTACGCTTTATGAAACACATAAAATAATGATAAACAATGAAATGAATTTGGAGTACATAAATGTCGAACACTTCGATAACTTGGTGAAAGTGTAGTTATACCAAGCCAGTACTGATTCGTTAATCTACCCTGCACTTGGCATCTCTATATTAATAACAATTTAGAGACTCATTATGCACAGGGTGACTGATAATTTTAATATTTTATATAGCAACATACCATCAATGATAAAACTTTCAACTTCATCTTCATTAATTTGTAATTCTTCTTGAATTGTATCAAAAGACATTTCAGGATTTGTTTCTGCCAGTTGCATAAATGTCAACAACCTCATCTTTTTCATATTCTGTTCATGGTTTAATCCTAGCAACAGAAAGCAGAATTTATATTTCCTAATACAATTTGTAAATTTATTAGTGTTAAGTACGTGCTACATACCTAATTGATGCTCTACAAATTCTTTGTGATGTTGATAAAAATCCAAATAGGCAGGCAATTTATCTTGTACGAATACGAGAAGTAAATCATGGATGAGTTCTCCTTCCAAGAACCTCACTGGTTTTAATGCTAACAGTGGATCAAGCAGGAATGTGTTCGGATCTGCTAACGCAGCTAATATACAACGTTGTGCATCTTCTCTAGCTGCAGAAGCGTTCTCTGCTGTGTACGTCCCTAAGAGTTCAACCATAACTGCAGCAGCTTGTTCCCTATCACAGTAATGAAGGATCAACATAGCATGAATGTCCTTATCTCTTATTAATAATTAAAAAACATACAGTTAAGAGCAAAATTGGAGACATGTTATTTAAAATTGAATAAATTTATAAAAATCAGACTAAACAAGCTGAGTTTTTTTAACAAGTCAGGTGGATTAGTTTACTAAATTATGTGTACAATTATATGTGTATTACATAAAATAAAAATTGGTAGAAATCTCTTCTATCCGGATTTGTTATGAAAATTTAAATAGTACATTTTGACTACTTACATGAGATTAGTGTGTGCTAAGCTTTCATTGAAATTGATGATCATTTTTTTGTGGCTTATAATTAGGTGAAGTTGTCAAAATTGCAATTTTTAAAACTTTTGGCCAAAAAATCTACGAGTTTTGATCTTCGTTACTTCTTTTGATAAAAACGGATTTCAATAAGATTTTCAACTTAATTATTAATGTCAGATAAGTATTCTTGTTTAAATTCTCATTACACGCTCGGATAAAAAATTTGAAAAACGCGACCTTCACATTTCTCCTTACGATTTCTATAAACCTCAACTTTTTCACAATCTTTTGTACATCATTTAGTAGACTGATCCACCAGACTATTCAAAGAAACTCAAGTCGTTTGTTCAGATTTTAGAAAGTTTGTGTTCAGTTTTGCTCTTAAATGTATATATTGATTATTTTTAAATCTTACCCTTGTTTACAACTTAGAAGAACTTCATGAAGTAGTCTAAGCAACTTCTGCATTTGTTCATTTGATGGTGGGAGTGATGCAAACTGGTGTTTTAATTGATCTATACCACCGTACACTGCTTTTACTTGATCAACATTACGAGCAATCTGTACTAAATGATAATAGACGTGATATTTCATTGGAGAGTCATCAGGAAGAGATTGAAACAACAACCATAATCTGAAAAATAATTGAAGTCATATTTCTGTGCCAGGAAGTGCTACCAATATTTGTTTCACTTACGCTTTTAAGCACACTAAACCAAGTTTATAGCCTGGAGCTTTTGTTAACTTTTCACAGAATGCTAGTATTAAATTTTCAGCTCTTTCAGTTGGAATCTGAAATGAAATCAATTTAAGAAACAATAGAAGTATTGATTTACCAATGTGAGATCCACAATAGTTACTTACCACTATCATGATAGATACAATATCATTTAAAACCGTTTCTATTTCACTTTCATTCCCTTCTTTGAAACAAGCTTCACAAACACCAATAATTTTATGTAAATCATCTTCTATACCTTTCGGAGACTTCTCTTCACTTATTTCAGCTCCTAAACTTTTAAAATAGATTCTCAGCTCTTGAGCCTGTAAATAAATAATCACTTCGAAGTATTTGCATTTATCACTTGAATTAATTAATTTAATGCCATTACATTTGTTTCTCGGCCGGAAAGTGGGGACGACGCGACCATGGTGGGGACTGGTACTTGATGGGGTATGCTTGGCATGGTCAGCGAAGGCGCATGAGGGGAATAGTAGAGGGGAACGCGAAAAGAGAGGAAGTCGCTGTGAGGGATTTTTTCCGGCACCCATGTTAACAAAGGTAACGAAGAGGTTAACCATAATAACAGTGGTCGGTTGACGAATCGACTTTGAAGAACGCAAGAGAAGCGTGATTTATTTATTTCTGTACCTCATTGCTTGTAATTGAATTTAAATTAAACAATTAATTCACTATGAAGAGGAGCATGTTAGGAAATAGAAGAGAGGGAGTGAATAAGACGTTGAGAAGGCACGAGCCTACAAGAACGTTATACAAACAAAAATTTAGTGAGCCTTTAAAGAGAAAGCAAAAAAATTTGTACAACCCAAAAGAAGAGGCCAGGTATGTCGACAATGATGGAGCACAAACGAATGTTTAAAAATAATTTTCTCAGTTCTAGATAAATCTAATGTGCATGTGTTCACAGATTGGAGAGAGTCGTGTTTGGTGATCCCAGTGACGTCATAAACAATTTAATAGACAAAGAATGTCTTGTTCAACCAAATATTAAAAAAAATGACTATCACGCTCCTATAGATGATACATGTGATGATTCGAATGAACTCAGTGAAGAACACGGAAAGAGAGCAGCATGGGTTGACGAAGACGACGTTCAATATTCGTACGTATGAATGAAACTCCCTCACACACGCTCAAATGTGTACTCTCTCAAACTGTACTACAAACAAATTGTATTCTTTTGTCAGTGTACAAGATGCTGCAAAAGCGCAAAATCGTCGACTAGCAGACGATGTGCCAGAAAAGTTATACAAAGATTATTTGAGTAACAAGTATAAACAGCTGGTAGGCACTCCAAAATGGGCTGAGCTTAATAAAACTGACAAAGAGTCAACCGATGATTTGGACAATGAAATATTAAAGGTAAGACAATTCCATTCGTCTACTGCTGACCCACGTCTAACTTTCGGTTACACTTTTTAGCACAGTTGTCACTTGGAGAGAGCGATAATAAGAAATTTGCCGAAGAGTGTAATCGATATAAAAGCATTGACACCAATCAACAAAGAAACACATACGGAAGGGCCTGTCGTATCAAGCGTTGAATTTCATCCATCTTCTATCGTGGCCCTTGTCGCAGGTTCATCTGGAATCCTGTCTCTCTTTCAGGTTCGAAATAGTCGGAAACTAGTATTTTTCAATTTTGTGAATCAGAAACGATCAACGAGATAATTATAGGTCGACGGTGTTGAAAGTAATAAGTTGCACACGATGCGATACGACAAGTTTCCTATTAGTTCAGCAAAGTTTTTAAGAGACGGCACGGAGGTGTTGGTCGGTTCACAATATCATCCCCATTGTCACTCGTATAATTTGTTAAGTGGAAAGACGCACAGAATCCAGTTGCCACATGGGATAACCAACATGCAGGTGCGTAAGATGATCGCTCGGTCGAAAGGCAATAATAAGGCCTCTTCAAAATGAATTACTTAGAAATACGAAGTATCTCCGGATGGAAAATTGCTAGCTCTTTGCGGACGATCAGGTGAAATTTACTTACTGTCAGCCTCGTCCAAGGAACTGATCAGTACTTTGAAGATGAACGCAAAGTGCAGAACGTTGTATTTTACACCAGACGGTAGAAGGCTCGTTACACATGGCGGTAAGTCTTCTGCCAAAGTGTATTTCAGTTTCGTACGCTCATTCCTAATTCTTCTTCTTCTCTGCCGAATTGAAGACAGCAACGAAATGTATATTTGGGACGTGAACGGTCGTGCATGTCTTCACCGAGCCGTGGACAATGGATGCTTATCCTGTACATCTGTCGCTATATCTCCGAGTGGTCAATTTTTAGCGACAGGTAGCAAAGAGGGCGTAGTAAATCTGTACAGCGTCGAACAGGTCCTCAACAATCGATATCCCGTTCCTTTAAAGATCGTTTTTAACTTTACGACGTCGATTACCAGCCTAAAATTTAATGCTCACTCGGAAATCTTGGCAATGGCTTCAGATAAAAAACATAACGCGTTCAAGATGATGCATTTGCCATCGTTTACAGTCTTTTCGAATTTTCCAACGTTTCAAACCAATATACTAATGCCCGAAGCTATCGATTTTTCACCAGCCAGCGGTTACTTGGCGATTTCCAACAGATCGAGTAGTGCCTTTTTATACAGATTAAAACACTATGGTAATTATTAACAATAATCATTAGTTTCTGAACCAATGAACACTGTCGAACAATTTTTTTTTTTTTTTTTTTTTAATAAAAAGCAGACAAACCTACGATATCTACGATTCATTTCGGAATAAGATACCAGAGTAGGCGATAGACATTGGCACGCGACGGCCTATAGAGCAAATGAATAAAACACTTTCATGTGATTAGTTTGACTGAGAAAACATTTATTAAAAATATTAACTTAGTTAATAATACATTTTCCCCTGAATATCGCATTATTCACTTATTTACATTGATCAGAATTTTTGCGTCATCATTTTAACACGATGTGTAAACGTATACAAAGTAGATTAGTATTCTTTCTAGTGTTTAGACTGATAAAAAGATATATGAAATCGTCGTACATAAAGTATATATGTATGTACAATCTACCTCGAGCTCGAAGTCGCGAGTATACCTGTGCATGTAGTACACAGAGATGCCAGAATGTGGGATTTCTCCTCTTCGCGAGCTCTCCCCACCAGGATTCTCATAATTTATCCTTCGGCCGGAAAGTGGGGGCAACGCGACCATGGTGGGGACTAGTACTTGATGGGGGTATGCTAGGCATGGTCAGCGAAGGCGCATGAGGAGAATAGTAGAGGATCGAAATACGGGCGAAAAAGAGGGGAAGCGAGTCGTGCGGGATAAATTCTGAGACCCCTGCACGCGCCCCTTTTAGGAGATGCACGAAGCCGGTCGCAAGATGGGGCGCTTGTAGATCCACTTCTTGAGGGGAGTAGTGCGCAGTCCCTTCCTAAACGTCTACTTCCCCTCAAATAATGGATATTGACACTAGAGTGCGGTACTAAACCCTGTCCACTTTCGAACAAAGAAATGAGCAATCTCCCTCTTCATCTCTGGAAATAAGCAATTTCCCTTTTCATCTCTGGTTTTGGCCTGGCTCCCCTCCTCTATTTATATTATCTCTATGCTGCGTCACGTTACTCATCGTAATCATCTGCAAAGTTTCTTCGAATCTGTCTTTTATACTTTTATTTCACATAAATGTGTGAAACATGTTGAAAAAGAAAAAATTACAGAATTTTTATACAAATGGTTGTTACATGTCAAATACATAATAATCAAATATGTTAAATATAATAGGCGATATAATAAATATTGTTAAAATGATTTCAAATCTACTTTTACTAGTATATATTATTTTGTTATATAAAAGGGCCTAGCTGGATAAGGGGGTCAAATGTGCCCTTGAGCCGAATGAAGCGCCGTTTGCGCCATTCG